TTGTGTGGTTCACTGAGTTCCCAAGGCGGCCAGCCTTTTAAGGCAAAATAAAAAAAAAAAAGTATCAAGAAATATGGCGGCCATTTTTTCTCTGGAGCCTAATTTTCTTATATTTACAAATGCTACCATGTTTTTATCAACACAAACTTTTAATATTTTCAAGTTGAATTGGATATGTGTGTTATTTTCCTTCTTTTGAAGGTTTATATATATATATATTTTATATATTATATATATATATATATATATATATATATATATATATATATATATATATATATATATATATATATATATATATATATATATATATATATATCCTGTATTCGCTTTCTACCTACTCATTTTCTGTTATATTTCATTATATTTATTGAATAAGTAGGTACTTTGATGTAAAAGGGTTTTTGAATAAAATATATTTTACATATTTTATTATTGAATCGGTATCATCATCATTATCAGTCGTTAACTGTCCACTGCTGAATATAGGCCTCCCCATTGGAGGGTGTTGCCAGTAGTTGCCACACTTGGCAGATGAGTTTGCAATTACAGTTAGGCATTGGTTACGTTTTAAAAGGGACATTGCTGCCGATCCTTCAATCATTAAACTCTCTTAGTCTCCTCTTACGACATCTACGAGAAACGAAGGCGTGACCCTACGCTGGTCCCCATTAGGAGGGTTTGCTAGTAGTTGCCACACTTGGCAGATGGGTTTGCAATCACAGTTAGGCATTGGTTACGTTTTAAAAGGGACATTGCTACCGATCCTTCAATCATTAAACTCTCTTAGTCTCCTCTTACGACATCTACGAGAAAGGAAGGCGTGACCCTACGCTGGTCCCCATTAGGAGGGTTTGCCATTAGTTGCCACATTTGGCAGATGGGTTTGCAATCACACTTAGGCATTAGTTACGTTTTAAAAGGGACATTCCTGCCGATCCTTCAACCATTAAGCTCTCTTAGTCTCCTCTTACGACGTCTACGGGAAAGGAAGTTGGCTGGTCCACATTAGGAGGGTGTTGCCAGTAGTTGCCACACTTGTCAGATGGGTTTGCAATCACAGTTAGGCATTGGTTACGTTTTAAAAAGGACATTACTGCCGATCCTTCAACTATTAATTTCTCTTAGTCTCCTCTTACGACGTCTATGAGAAAGGAAGGCGTGACCCTACTCTGGGACCACACGGCTATTGAAACACGTTTATAGCTTAATTTCAAAGGAATATCAGAAAATATTAAAATATTAATTTTGTATTTATAGAAGTTGTAAATATAAAAGTTTTTAAAAGCAATGTATATCTCGTTTTCAATTGATTAAAAAAAAAAGGATTCTTAGTTCAGTATTTTTTATGTTTGTTATCTTATAACTCCATCAATTATAAATAGATTTAGAAAAATCCCTTTTTCATCTGAAAGGATATACTTACTTACAGGTTAGTCCCATAGAAATTTTGTCACAATCGGTTCTTTAGTTTACTTTATTTTTTAAAGTAAATAAAAAATAATTTAGACGAAAATTTATTTTCATATCTGTATTTTCCGTTTGCCATTTGAGTTAAGTGTCTCCTGAATCAGGGTGTATTAATAAGGCCCGCAAAGAAATATAGGCACTAAAAGCGTCTATTATATATCTCTGACTATCCTGTCTTTTCCAAAGTGGGCGATAACACCCCCTTGTGGGCGCTGCAGGGCATTTTAAGAGATGCAGAAAAAAATTATTAATTTACACAATTTACGCTTAATAATTGATTAATTTAATTTGAAGTAATAGTGGTTTTTAAGTAGGTGAAAAAATGGGGGCGCTAAAAAATAATTTATTCTTTAAGTGGGCAGTAGATAAAATAAGTTTGGGAACTCCTTCAGTAAATTATCCATCACGTACCTCTAGATAATTGACAAACAAAAACTATAGGTACGTTTTCACTGCCATTTTCATTAAACAGAACAATACAGCAGTTTGGCGTTTTCTAGAGGAAGACGTACGTATTTGATTTGATTGAGTATAAAGTACTTTATGCAATAAATTATATCTTATAAAAACGTATTATCAGTCGTCATATTTCGATAATTATTTGTTAATCAAAAGAATTCACCTCACAATCAGTTGGCGATGATATCGGGTAAAATTAATTAAAATAAATATAAATCGAGCCCTACAAAAACAAAACGACTTTAATTGTGTCAAAACTAGTTATTTTAATTTAAAAACTAAATAAAATTTCCATAGAAACAATCTTCTATAGGAAAAAAAAAAAGAATTTTCCAAATCGATTTAGAATCGACAGAGTAATGACGTAGTAAAGATAAAAAGAAAAAAAAATACAATAGAATTGAAGACCTGCTTCTTTTTGAAGTCGATTGAGAATATACAATAATAGTAGTTGCATTGTGAATCTCTTTTTTTTATAAGGTCGTTGAACGTCTGAAGTGTTTTTTTATAATCTTAATCAATAAATAGATATTTAAAATTAAATTAAGTCTCCGCAGATATTTGCAACCATATTTTATTTAGTTTTACTTCACTCTTGCAAGTATACAGCTGAAACTAAATATTTACACAGGAATAACAAAAATTAAGTTTATATTTAAAATAAGTTTACTATTGTAATCTTATGGTGGGAACAATAAAGAGTATCTATCTAAGTACTTACAATAAAAAAAAACAAAAGATATATAAACATACACATACGTATATGTGTGTGTTTCTTTTGTTTCACCGTGTCATCCTGTCATAGAAAGGGCTACCCCTTCCTTTCTAGTGGGTGTCGTGACTAAGGGAACTTAATGCTCGAAGAATGGGCAGCAGTACCCCGTGGCAATTACTGGCTAAACTCCCCTTATAGGGAAGGCTTACATTCAGCACTGGAATGTTAACGTGTATGTATATGTATATATCATAATATACTGCCGTAAAACTGTGAGCGTAAAATAGTTCGCATATTTTTTTCACTCATATTAGCTAATGAGATTAGAAATAAGAAGTATAACTTTGGGAAAATGACTGAATAAATTTCAATAAAATCTTTCAATTGAATAGATATTAAGCTATTTTATAAATGTGTCTGAAAAGAACCGTGCAATAGAATCATGAGACATAGTTTGATTATTTTATTAGATTAAATCGTTTAGTAAGTAAAGATATTTGTTAATTAGATTTCTAACTGTGAAAATTGGTAACCGTTGTCGAAAAACAATGCTATGGACAAATAAATTACGATTATAATGCGTTGTCAGCCTTCAGGATTAAGATGTTACATTTCTGTTCTTTGTAATTTAACTATCATATTTCACACTTCAAATTGTAACATAGTAATGCAAGTACAGTTGTTTAGGAGAAGAGATTAGGGGATTAGCGGTCGCTTTGCAAGAAATATACACATCCCGTTAGATCGCCCTTCACAGGGTTCCCCCTGGAAACCATCGTAGTAGTATTGTTGAATTCATCAGAATCTAAATCCGGACACATGAAATTTTGCACAAGGGTCTCTTTTAGAATGTAAGTTAGTACTAGCGAAAGCTAATGGTAGTTAAGTTATAGTAAGGTAATAGTAGTAAAGTTTATAGTAAGTTAGTAGCAGCGAAAGGGAATCCAATATCACGCCCTGGAATCAAAATGGTCACGCTCAGTCCGGTTTCAGAAGAGTTTCTACCTGTGAACGCTCAGGTGGTGGAATGGTTTTCCTTCTGAGGTTCTTCCTAGAGATTACAGCATAGGGCTCTTCAAAAAATGCATAATAAGGTTTCTTAAGGACCGACAACGCATGCGTCACATCTTTGATGTTACAGCCGTTCATAGGCTACAGTCACTCCGTTTACCATCAAACGGGTCATGTTTCTTTGCCACGATAGTAGTATAACAATTCATTAAAATGGGATCTAAATGCGGGAAACAAGAGCCAGTCATAATCATCATCATCTCAGCCATTATTCGTTCACTGCTGAACATAGGTCTCCCTCATAGACTGTCATAAAGAACAGTCCTGAGCCACATACATCCACTGACTCCTTGCAATATATTTGAGGTCGCAACTCCATCTAGTAGGGGATTCAACAACAGTCAAATGTTTAAACAAAAAAATAAACAATAGAATCACGGGTAAAAATAACTATTTATTACAATAGATTTGAAGACTAGACATAATGTATTTATAGTTATCATAAAGAATATAAAATTATGATAGGTAAAATGAAAATTTTCGATTTTCAATTAATATTGGTGAATTGATATGAAGTATTTCATGTGCAGGCAGTTTGTTGAATATCAATCATACATACAATTCATTTAATAATAGTTTATGTATACAATTATATTACTGTACTATTTGTTAATTTATATATTTACATAATGTACTAGTAAGTACATAACATTTGTGTGTTATAAACAATATTATTATAATTAAATTATTATGTACAACAAACTTTATATTTAACATAACAATATTTTAATTCAATATAAAGTTGATTAGAATTTAAACTCTAGATTTTTCAACAGATTTATCTATTTGAAGGACTTAATATACTATTAAATATATAGGTACATATCTATATACAACTGGACAACGAGATTTTAATGAATTTAATATGTTTGTTGTTTCTGACAACGAGAATTTAATGAACTTACAATGTTTGTTGTTTAGACATTATCTGGAAGTCTTTTTCAGAACGGTGCTTACGTCGTAGAGTCTTGACTCGCGCTTACAATAGTGTTTCGGAAATGGTCGTTTGCACAAACAATAAAAAATAAATAAAGACAGTAGAACAAAGTACAAGTAATTTAAGTAATATTATATCTATTTCTATACAGTAAACCAGACCTTTAAATCTTTTAAACTACGCAATGGATTTTAACGCGATTTTCATCAATAGATAGATTGGTTCAAGAGGAACGTTTATACGTATAGCTTAATATTGTTTTGCATTAATTTATTGAAATATGACGATAATTATTCAAAATGTCGGCTGAGAACTTTCGTCGAAAATGCTTTCTAATTTTTTTAAATATAATATAATAATGTATGATGGAATTGTTCCGTTTCATTAGTGCTTCATAAAAGTCAGTGATGCCATGTGACTATATTTTGCATATGACTATTTAAAAAAAATATAATAATTATGTGGAATTTGGAAAGCTACTTAGATGGATACAATAATAATAATCACTCCACACTGACACCACATTGTTTCTACATTGCATCCTTGCGATATAGTAAGTTCATTAAATTCTCGTTATCAGTTATATAGAGCGAAATCGAGGTCATTAACCACAAGTAAAATTAAGTATTTACCCATGCTGTAAAATATGAGTATAATGTAGAAACTTCGTAAATATTATTATTTGATTGAATTTATTAATTATTGAATTAATATTCAATAATTGAATTAATATTCAATAATTGAATTAATATTCAATAATTAAGGATTGTGTTATAAAAAAGAACCGACTTCAATTGTGATAAAATTAATGATTTTGATCTAAAAACTTTACTACTCAATCGATTTAGATAAAATCCCTATGGAATCAATCTGTAAGTATATTTTTTCAGATAAAAAAAAAGAATTTTTCAAATCGGTTTACAACTGATGAAGTTATGAGGTAACAAACTTAAAATGCAACTGAATTATGAATCTCATTATTTTTGAAGATGGTAGAAACAAAAAAAAATTTTTATTTATCAACCTAAGTATTGAAAAATTTATTCGAATGCTCTCATTTTAAATTCGAGACGAAAGTTTAGAACGCGAGAGCGTTGCATGGGTTGTGGTTTATTAGAGACGGGAATTAACGCTACACGGTAATAGTTTACTATTCTCTTATTTTACATTCCCTTATAAAATTGTTAATAGCTTCGATATCACTCTGTGTACTCGTAGTTAAAAAAATAACATACATTTTTTAAAATAACACTTATATCTATTAAAACGTAGACTTAAATTATAGATTTGAAATTAAAATCGCCACACGTTCCATGTTTACAAGATATTTATATAATTTTTTACCGATCCTATATATTATTGATAGTATAATAAGCCTTTTAGAATTAAAAGTTTATACTCTTTTAAGTGAGAAGAATTTTGAATCTGATATGAGTCACAGATATGATTACGAGGTCCAAGAAATGGCACAATTCCAAAAATACCTCTGACTACTCCATCTGAGATTATATTGAGGTCAATTCTGAGGTGCCATTCCCTTCTTATTTCTAAAATTAAAATTTCAAACTGATATTTTAGTTTATTATGATATGAACCATTAAGAATTAAATATAAAGTATTTCTAATGCAGTTCTACTAAAAGTTTAGTTTACACTGATCCTTAGAATCATTATTTCGCTGTGATATCAAATTGAAATTCTATTTTGGGAGAGATAAAGAATTGTGCTTCAGAAATAAATCCATTGTGTTATAGGCGAGAGAATTTAATAGCATTACTTATTTTTTTTACAAAGATTTTGTCAAGTTGAATGTACTCGCAACCAACGAATGAATAGATTGATGAATATAGAGGACAGAAGAGGTCTGTTTGAACCAAAACATTTGAAGTTCCATTATTTCTGTATACGAGTATAAGGGAGACAGGTTTAATACATAATTATTATGTATGATTTAAATATCACTATATTTTTTTCTACTTGCAAATCATATTTGGTGGAAATATTGTATACATTCAGTATTCAGTTGTTTCAGTATTACTAAAAATTTTTTCAGATTTTTAAACTACTAAAAAAGGAGTATTTATATATGCGTGTGAGTTTCTTTATTTCTCTATAATTTTGAAATGCCTGGACTAATTTGGATGTATGAGATATTGTTTGAATCCTTACATCATCCTAAACAAGAAGGGATTCTTTTAATGATTTGTTATTTGGTAGGATAGCCATATTTTTTATTTGCGAAACAAAATTTTGGTGTACTGTAAGAGCAGTGTGTTTGTTTATAAAATTTTTCGCTCGGTCTCGGTTTGTTTGTAAACTTAACTTTTGTTTTTGAGATATTCTCTTGTTACCAGTTAGAACATTGCAAATACGACACGAGACAGTTTGTTTGTTATTTCGTATTGTTCAGGGGCGTACGAGTACATACGACAATATTTCGTGGGAATTTAGTTTACTTTGTTATTAAAACTTATTGTAAAATAAACATAAAAGTATATACTATTGAACATAGAACAGTTTCTTTTTTTTTAAGTTAATTAATTATTTAGTCATAATGGAGCATATCGTTTCCTAAGCTTAGCTTTAAAAATACACATTTACTTTGATAGTTTGTTTTAAAAAATGTCACATTTTTTATATTTTAATAGCTGAGTTTTCTGTATATTCATTTATTTTATTTACTACTTTTAAAATTGATCTAGTCGTGTAAATAAAAGTTAATGTTCTTTGTATTTTAGAGTGTTATTGTTGGTGGAGTAGCCTCTTGATTTAAATAACAAAAGTAAGTCTTCCTCTGCATCATATGCTCCAGTAAAATTTTGGCTGAATTTTATCTGTAGTAAAAAGCTAATTTGTTTTTAATTAAACTATTTTTTATTAACATATTTAAAACTTATCATGATTATATACTCTTTGATTCCTTAAATCAGTGAATCAATATTATAGTTTAATATCATAGTATATATACCAAATGTACAGGTTTTTCAGTTCAGTTCAGTCATTTTTTTTTAAATTATAATAATAAATAATATTAATTTTAATGGATAATATAACCAATTTTACAAATAAATTTGTAGACCACAGAGATATAAATTGAATACAAGTTGAGTATGATTTTACTCAACAAGTGACATTTTCTCATCGTTTATTTATATAAGAATGATCTTACTTTATAACAGTAAAATATCTATTTATTTTATTCACATTTTTATGGCTTTTAGAATAACAATGATACATTGACCGTATTTTGTTTTTTCTTCTTTGGCTTCTTATGATACAAAATATTTGAATTAAATATAAAATGAAACAAAGACAAATGTTTATTTTGGTTGCTCCAACGACAACAACAAAGAAATAGATATTTGGACAAGAGACAATATTTACAACGTTAAATCAATATAAATGTTGCAGAGATTTTCTATCTATGCGACAAAAAAAAATCACACATACACACGTAAATACTTATATAGAAAAATGCCCAATTGCTTGAGATCTTTCTTTTTTTAAGGTCGTTTGATGAAAGATTATTTTATGTGAAATTTTATATGATATCCTTCAGCAAAAAATTCATTCTTTTGGGGTACTCAATGCTTACTTCTTTTTAATACAATTTATACAAATATTTTAATTAAAATAAGAATCTCAGTAGATTCATAATTGGAGTTTCTGAATAGTATGTATTAATTAAATCTGAAGATACTATATAAGGTTTTCAAATTAATTAATTTATAGACATATTTTAAATACCCAATCGGGGCTTAACGAATTGTAAAAGCTTTTACAGGTAAATTGTACCTACATATCTGTTTCTTTATCGCCGACGTTTTGACGTGGACTGCACCACGTCGTGGTCACGACAGGACTAAAGTGAGCGGCGTCTTCGTTTGGCAGCTAGCGTAGTATTTTTGGGTACCCTCACATTATTTTCTAGAGTCACCCTACACACCGCAATCACGGTATCTACACTGCGTCTAAACAAATTATCGCATGTTTTAGTATACTAATCACCATTCCATGGGTTCCATGCTGACGAAACCCTTCATCTTCCCTATTGAAATTTTTCGGATTTTTCCTAACTTCTATTGCTTCATGTACTATCCGCGGACAATAGTGACGCTCGGTAGATAGAACCATTGGGTTATAAAGTCGTTAAGTTCCGATTGTGTATTCAAAATATGTGTAAACAACGCAAAAGTTTATTAATTACTTACAGACATTCAGCATTTTCTTACATGTTGTCAATTGATTAAGTTTAATCTGCTTTTTTACTTGGTCCAATTAGTAAATAATCTTATTATATTTTAATTTTTTATTAAAGAATAATTTCAAGAAAAAGTAATAATTATTAAGGAAACCTTACACTGAAACATTTTTCATTTAGCTACTTGTTTAAGTATTTTACACACTGTTATTTTAGTTCCTAATTTAATGACTATTTGTGTCAGTATAGAAAAAAAAACAGATATTACAATAGGTAAGTAGTTATTTTGCTGTGATTTGATTTGAATAATAAATTGTTATTTGCAAATTATATTGTAATACTAAACTAAACTTACCACACTCATCGCAATAAATTTCATTTCATTTCAAAAAAATATTTGAAACGCCAGTTTCGATTATAAAACTTAATAACTCTGTAAAAATAATAATATATTTCTTTCTAGTAACAGACTTATAAATATTGAAAGTTTTGTACAATATTTTATTTACAAAGTTAATCAGGTTTATTTAAAATACTACTTTGAAAAGAAATGCGTTGACGAATTCATTTATACTTATAAATAATAATTATTACATGACAACATCAAAATTAGTATACGCTTTTGTAAAAAAACGGACACATTTACAATAAATTAAAAATTGGATAATTTAAATTTATTTTTAAAATATTGTATTGGAAATAATCGTAGATTTATTATCATTAAATACGAGTAGTTAGTATTTTGTTGTATGTGTCTAAAAGTTGTTTTTGTTTTAAATAATTTTAATTATTAAAAATACTGTTATTCACAGCTGATATATTGTGAAGCGAGCGTTAAGAATTCTGAATTCAAATTAAACAAACTTAAAAAAAAGACTCGAAGAAGTTCTGTATTTTATAAACTATCAGAAAAAAAAAAACTTCTAGAAATTGACATAATAACTAGAGATATTCGAAAAGCGTTGCCACAGTTTTCTTTTGTCCAAAAATTTCATTTCGTGAACAAATATTCTATTTTTATATTAAATGTCCGCTTTTTTACAAAGGAGTTTATAAGACATCTGTATTGAACGGTCCTAGCTTATAAAATGATAAAGAACTTTCTGATTTAATCTTTAACATTATATTTAGTGATAGAGTATATTTAACATTTAACATCTAATATCACAAATATACTTTCAATTTTACAACAATTAATTAATTAACCTAATTATTAATTAATACAACAATTTGCCAAGCAATATGATTATAGTTAAGTCGGGGCTAATTCTACCGGCGACCGAGAATGCTTTTACCTTAATTTCATTTTGGACTGGGTGTCCATAAGTTTCCTCGATAGATTTCATTATCTCCTTCGGACAGGGAAGTGCGTCTATTGGTATATTTATAAGTTTCTTACCTTCATTATTTGTAGGTTTAATAAAATTGTTATAATCATTATTATTAGTATCGTAATAATCATAGCTATCGTCTGGTAACAAGTTCTTATTGTACACTTTATCCTTCCCGTCGTGCCCATGGGGTTCCATGACACATGAGATTTTCTCGAGTGCGTTCAGCAACGCGTTGTGTTTGGTCTCGTTCCGTAGAAGGTATACCCAGGACAAGCGGCAATCGCAGTTCAGTGGGTTATCTGAAACAAGACGAGCAATTAGAGTTTATTTGTTTTTTTATGCAACTTATGTAGAATGGCAAACGAGCTGACTGTCCACCTGATGGAAAGTGGTAACCGTCGCCTATAGACATGAGCAGTACCGTGGACATAACAGAGTATACTGTTTCGCTTATGTTTGTATAAAGCTTATTGTATTCACGTGTGACAGGTATCGTGTTATTTAGGAAGTGATAAGGTACACAGATTGACTTATCCCTTGAAGGAATTTCTTTCAGTCAACATTGAGAACCTGAAAAAATAATGTATCTATAAGCTTTGTATATAGAGCGTAACATATATAGTAGATAGATAGATACTCTTTATTGTTTCCTCCAAAAGATTACAATAGTAAACTTATTATAGATATAAACAATTACAAGAAATAATCACAATGGAAAACAATGGACGATCTTATCGCTAAAAGCGATTTCTTCCAGGCAACTTTTGGATGGAGAGGGGTAATTATAAACAATACATAAATAATATAAGAAATATTACACTGTAATTGATAAATATACGTAGAGTTTTTATTGATAAGTATAATTTTTATTTAAATAAAATTAGTGGCAATAATTTTAATTTATGATTAGACACTTGATAATTTACTACATAATTGCAAATAAATTGATTCTTTATCTATGCACTAAAGATAAAAATTTGCTTCTATATCAATTTATTTGCAATTGTTAAAATATAAATATTATATTCCAACAATTCCATTAATTATAATAATTAAGTGTTAAAATTAAAGTTAATTATAGTGTGTATAAAATTATTGGAATGAAATTATTTTTTCAATCGCTTAATAATTATTAGAATATTATTATCGTATTTTAATAACACGAATATTTCATAGTTATAAGAATTATTAAATAGTATTTTTTTATAATGCTAGTTAAAAGGTTGATGAAACCGATACAATATGAAAGTGAAAAAGATTCATGTATCAAAAAAGACCTACGTAATCAGATATCTAATGGAGTAGTGAAGAACTTATGGGATGAATTATGAAATGTAGTTATGTATACATGTATGTATTTGGTACTTGGTTTTTCTGTCTACCTCGTAAAGGGCTTTGATCTGTTTATCTTCACGCTATAATGTTTATGTTACTTATGCAGTCTTATGAAGATAATTACTATTAGCAAACACGAAGTAAGATAAAATCCAAGCCAAATACTAGACTAGCTGAGACTTAAAAATAAAGCTTTGGTTTGAAAATAAAATTATACAAAATGCTATTAGCGGGAATAAGCAATTATCCGGAATAAAATTAAATTGATTTTAGAATCTCTTATTGAAAAACTTCCTGTGGGCGATAAAGAAAATTGAAAATACATGTATATTAATAGAAGGTACCTACTTATAAGATTAAGGCCGTGAATCGATCCAAAAGGTGTGTCAATTTCGAATTTTGGTAAATAATAATATAAAAACCATAAATCACATGTACTCCATACTTCTGTTTCTAATATCTAGGTATTTTTAAACCAAAAAGCAGACAAATTAAATCAAATTAATTCTATCAATGTTTGTTTTTTTTTTGTTTTATATTAATATTATTCTAACAACTTTTAATAATTGAACTTATACATTTATAATTTGAAAATTTACTATAACTATGTAATCAACATTAAAAATGCTATAAGTTCATGATATTGTCAATACTATAAAGGAGTTTTACCTAAAAAAATAAATAAAATTAAATTAACTTCATGACTTCTCCCTCGGTATTCGCGGTACCTAAAAACAATTCCAATTTATTTAGTATTATTTAGAAAGGTACATGGAAGTTATAATTTAAAGGGTAAACTACTTAAATATCAGCAAAATTATTCATGAAAATAAACAACTTTTTCCAAGGAAAGTCGAAGGTCGAAATATAAAAATAAATTTTATATACGAACCACGCGTTTATGTGAGGTACTCATTTAGTTTATCCTTTATAAGCATGAATACAAATAAATGTAAATCTATAATATACATATTTAAATACTTATATGTTCAAACATCATCATCATCATATCAGCTTTTAACTGTCCACTGTTGCAACTGCCACGCTTGGCAGACGGATTGGCAACCGCGGTAAGGCTTTTGAAATATTTTAAGAGGGCCGCTGCTGCCCATCCCTCTCCCTTCCTTAGTCGTCTCATATAACACCCACGAGAAAGAGGTGGCCTCTTCTATGCCGGGACCACACGGCCATATTTTAGACATGTTTCTTTTATATCAAGTAGGTATATATATTATATTATAAAACATATAGTGTCTACTATATATTTGAAGGTAACAAAAGGAATGAATAAGAAGGTAATATTTTACAAGGTTTATAAAATTGTCACGAAATTCATAGACAAAATCAGGTCGTTTGCATTCCGGCGACGTATGAGACTGTGTGAAAGTTGCCAACGTTGCAACCTGCACTACACAGATAGGGGGAACTTCGGCGACAGTTTAGAGAAATAGGTTACCACTAGGTGTGTGACAATAAAATATCTTTAAAAATATCCTAAAAATAAAAATAGTAAAAAACATTTTTATTACTAGAGGGAGACTTTGTACCAAAATCGTTTGCTTGGACACCTCTGTCCCATTCGTGTTTCTACCGTGAAGCAGTTGTGTTTGCACAGCTGTGTTTCAGTTTGAAGGGTGGGATGTAGCAGTGAATTTACAGGGTACCGAGGAATGGCAACGCATGGGAGGTATCATGGGCGAAACAGTATACTCTGTTATGTCTATGGTACTGCTCATGTCTATAGGCGACTGTTATCATTTTCCATCAAGTGGGCCGTCGGTTCGTTTGCTATTCTAAGTTGCATAATGTTTTTTTTTCTTTAAGTGATTCTTATGAAATCCTGGAGAAAATAGTAATGTTTCTTTTTTAATTTTAAATAATTTTTTTTAGTTCAAATATAAAGTTTTTTAATTATACTTCTAAACAATTATTTAACAATATATGTTTTAATTATTATGTTTATTTTTAGTTGCATGCTTCAAGTTGGAAATAATAATATAATATAACATAATAATTAAATTTTTACGTGTCAATTTAATTATTTTTAATTATCTTTTGGTTTCTATATCACTATTAATGTTTATGAAATTATTAATTAATAGATTTTCTATGAAAAAATAAAACAACATTCAATAGATAAATAATTAATTACTAGGAGAACACCATCTGGTGTCAAGTCCGACAAAAGTACATAGAATTTTACTGTGCATTAAAGTTTAAATAAATAAATAAATAGTTTCAAGTGAACAGAAAATTCAGTTGCTTTATTGCGTTTAAACCGTAATAAAGTTCAAAGTGTTAGCAACAACAGAATACTTGCTAACGATTTAACCTTTCTACAACAAGGTGTTCCATCAAATAATCAGAAGCATCCCATTTATATTGATTTTACGGTTAGTTAATTCGACGAACTTTCACCAATTTGATGCTCAAAATAGAAATACATAAATTATTTTATAATGATGCCTTTTAGGGTTGTCATTTTTTTTTTGTCTGAATACTGATTGCTTTGCACCGAGTGCCTGTATATAATGAAATCGAAACATTTCTAAGCAAGTTAAAGTAAAATGATATTAATTTGTTTGCGATTAGAATATTAAATTATATGTATTGTCTCGTTCTCCCACATGCTTATGAACAAAGGAGGGCATTTTTTTTTAAATAGATGATATTTTTTTAATATGTGAAAATGTAATAGTGACTCCGCTTGCTCTATCGGTATATGCGGCGGGGTATTATGAGGGACGTGACGATATCAACATAACCACGACTGGAAACATCCAGGAGGAACTGCGTAGAGGTCGACCTGATAGAGTATATTGATAATAGATAATATTACAATGATAACTTCGCCTGCTCTGTAATATTGGCGGAATATCTATGAGGAAGGGATGGGAATAAACTCAGGGTAGTTGACCCATGGTAATGAATCAACAAGAAATTAATTACGAGGATTCTACGAGGTACCGTATGGAAAATTTACTAGTAATAGGGTTGCCACCCTTTATTACTAACAATCTCTTTTCACAAACACAAACAGAAATAATATGGGATCAACACCCTATTGCAATTATGTTTCAGAGTGCCAAAATATTTGCCAAATCCATCCTGAATTAGTAAAGATATCATAGAAACAAAAATATCGACGAATTCAGATCCTGTTCATTTTAAATGTTGCTCAATAAAATATTTTGTTTGACAAACAAAAACTACGATCGTGAATAATCAAACGCGGTCTGTATCAAAACACAATAGTCCTATAAAACACCTAATAAATAAAGAGGTTTTTTTTTGCAAATAAAAGCCATTTCTGCGATGTGGAAGGGCAAATTTATCGGGTCCCTTCGCAAAATATAGGTACAATTTGGCCCTCGTGGCCGGTGATTTACGTCCGCGATAGCTATGAAACATAAGAAATAAAAGGATTATGTTTCAGCGGTGAAGCCAATTTCCCAATATGCCACAGATAATATTTTTTATCGCTTTCGTTAGCAGCTGCAAGGGTTGAACTGTTTATCTCGGCTGGAACATGGTTTTTACTTAATTCGATGTCATTTATCTGATTTTGTTTTTTTTTAGAAGAGTATTCGTTTTTGCTTTTTGATGTATGCACCGTCAAAATGTAAACGACATTGCAATTGTCTGTCCATTTTCAAAAATAACAGAACAATTTTCAACATTTTTTTTTTACAACGCAGGGGGCAAACGAGCATGCGGCTCACCTGATGGTAAGTGACTACCGCCGCCCATGATCACCCACAACACCAGCGGCATTGCAGGTGTGCTGCCGGCCTTTTAAAAAGGAATATACTCTTTACTTGAAGGTTATGTTGTCGTATCGGTTCGGAAATACTGCTGCTGGAAGTTGATTCCAAAGAATGGTTGTGCGTGGAAGAAAGTGCCTTGAAAAACGCACAGTGGAAGACCGTCACTCGTCCAGATTTATAATCGTCCTTATTTATTA